AAGTAGTGCAGTCCCGCATTAAAGAATACAAAATTTCCCTTTAAAGTTTAAATAGGCAAGATGCTATGAATCATTTGTTATGAATGGATCACTGTTTTCCCCCTTCTTTTGTGGTAAAACAGTATTTGTTTTAAATAGTGTGACATAATTAACTAAGATGCCTATTTCTACCTACAAGTACCATCACAAGTGTACTAATTTACGGTTCAAGGGAAAGGGAAGTTGTTGATTATAATGCCAAGCTCAGTCATGAGATGTTATTTACATGTGTAACTTACTAGGCTTAATTAAACGGTTTCTGAGCAAAGTTACATGTACATGTATGCCAGGAACATGGTAAATTTGTGTTTGACCGTCTGTTTGTTCGTTTGTTTGTTGGTTGGTTGAGTTCCATGTCTGTTTAACGGGTCATTGTCCGTTGTTACATCTATTTTTATTAATGAATAATGCTCCATGTTACATCTGATATTACTTTTGTCAAGAATGAAATAAAATAGTATATGCTCTCCTTGGTAATCTTAACCTGATTTTTGTTTTAAATCTCAGTTTGGGTTTTCACTAAAAATGAAAAGTAAATTACGCGACAAATTTTTAAAGCTATATCGGAACGTTGAGTGTCTGGTCGTGGATAGGTCTTCGTCATGCCTTTTAATATCATGTATAGGGTAAAATGACAGGAAAAGACACTGGCGTAATAGACGCGTGGGTGATGGCTTATATGACCTCGCTTTAATAGTGCTAGACTGACATCAATCCTGCTTCCTCAAATAAAATTCGATAAACAAAATCCGAAGTCTGTCTCTTCAATGCTCTGACTATATGAGTTGACGAAATGTGTTAATCCTCGATTTACGTTAAGTCTTTCCTGAATCCTGATAAATATGATTATTGACCATTTTCTAGTACGTCTAGGCATGAGTTTTCCTTAAAACGTATAGTTACCCATGCAGTAACTGTAATGCAAAGGGGGAAATGCTAAAATCGAAACGATATTTCTCATAATTAAAAAATAAACAAAATTGTAATTTTCATGGATTCTCATTCAGACAAATATGAACAATGAGAACAAATAGGGCAAAAAAATTGCCTGATTATTCTTAAAAGTGATTGTACAGGTATCATATTAATAACTATATGACAAATGATTGCATTATCATTAACACTGTTGGATTATACGATATGAAAGTGCATATATTCCGCCCCCCCCCCCAAAAAAAAAAAAAGAAAAAAAGAAAGAAGAAAGTACGTACAACAACATGTATACGTGTAGAGGCTATATTTCTTAATTCAATTATTTGCATGTGCCTCCTTTTATGAATCAATATCCTACCATACTTTGGTAAAGGTTGGTAACTAATTGTGCTTTTGTTGTTTATAAACCGAAATCTTGCATTTATTGCCCCACTATGTGTACAAAACAATGCCCACAGACAATGGACACGACTATCATCATCGCCATATTGAAGAGTTAACACGCATGATTTTTGTTATTACGAGTGTTAAGGGAACTGCTTAGTCTCCCGAGCATGAACAGCAACTCAGCAAGCATTTTGAAAACATTAATGTTAAGCTTCCCATTTCGCAAAACAGAACCACGCGGAATTAAAAACAAAATCCCCTGTGAGCTAGGATGACATCGGCAAAACAAGAGGAAAAGAAAAGCACAGGTAACAGATGTTTCCGTTCAATCAGATCATAACAGATTCCACCTGAAGATAGATTGATCATCCATTCTTAACAACATCAAATTGGCAACCCGACTTATGAAATATTTCAGTAATTATCAAGTGATTCTTTGAATTCATTAGATAAGCCGATTGTTCATTGGTTGAAATGCCTGTTGAGTATTTTTTAAATATTACCCGAAATTAGTTTCCCTAAGCTAGATAATGATGATATTAACATTAAAGATTACGTTATAGTTTTCCCCTCCCCTTCCACCCCATATCTACTTAATGTAAATCATGTTGATTATGCATTGAGCGTGTAAATCTTGTTTTTTCTTTATTTATTATATCAAATTGGCAACCCGACTTATGAAATATTTAAGTAATGATCAATTCAGGGATTCTTTTAATTCATTAGATACGCCGACTGTTCATTGGTTGAAATGCCTTTTAAGGATTGTTTAAATACTATCCGAAAGCAGTTTCTCTATAAGCTAGATAGTGGTGACATTAACATTAATGCTTACGCCGCGCAGCCCCTTCCCCCATATCTACTTTATGTAAATCACGTTGATTATGCATTAATCGTGTAAATCAATTTCTTCATTTATGAGTACCGTTGCTATACATTCTGTTTAGAAATGAATGAATATCTGCTTTTGAAAATATGATGTAGAACTCAAAAAAACAAATTAAATCAAATTCAAGTAATAATATTCATGATGCGTTATAAATCCACACTACTAGTAAATGATGCTCAAGGCACCTACATGTACTAGTAAGGTATCATCATGCTAGATCGAACCAAGCTGCCATATAAGGTTGAGAAAAATGAACAAAATATTTTTTCTATATACCCATTTGGGAAAGAGTAGCAAGAGTAGATAAATGTTATGCCAAGGGATCATAGTTTTGGAGCTAGGATTTTAACTCCTTGAGCCGTCGTCTGCTGACACCATTAACTAGACTACCGCAGATTTTTCTCTTCAAAATTAATGTTGCCATTAAATAAAAAACATTTACTTTATGACGAATTGCTAAAAAAATTACATTGTAAAAAAAGGTTAATTGTTTTTCTTAACCTCCATGTTAATTTTGAAAGCTTTATGTTAAAAAAGGTGTTTTTTTTATATGTATTGATGAAAGTAAATTTCAGCTGAATCGTATTTTTTTCCTCTATCAATCAATACTTTTTTTCATTGCCTTGCCTTTATGAAGTATTGTAAGTTGTTACTGTATCTTTATTTTGTGTATTGCTTTACATTGTATTTCAATATTGTACTATGCGAAACAGAGCCCTTTTCTAAGCACTTATTTATCCTCTGAAGAGACTACCCTGTATAAAGAACACAGACAAAAATAAAGATTCAAAGAAAAAAAAGGCAATATAGATATAAAGAGGGGGAAAGTTCAGCTTCTGTACCACAAGATTTAAAAAAGACACTTCGTTTGGTTGGAAGTCTAACCGTAATAAAATACACATTTTCTACAGCTCATTATACATGTAACTTAATCAAATAAATCTATATTTGTTACAACTACAACTTTTTACAAATTATTAATTGCTTAAATTAAATAAAACACATTTTTTCCATCAGAGATGTTTCTACGTTATGCACTATATTATCGTGTGACTATTGTAACGAAATTAATGATAATAACCGGATGAGTGAATGAATAGATAGGAACCGCGTGTTGTCTCGCAATATCAATCCATACGATTTCGCGCAGACACTTTTAGATCAAGGAACGGCTTCCGTTTCAACATTCACTGCGGTGTCTGGTAGACAGATTAAAAGATTTGAGAACAAATTAGCAGTAAATAAGTTCCATGTTGCAATCAAATCATTGTAGACATGTGTAACGTTCAATACCAAAACCGAACATAATATATAAAGCAGGGACTGATTCAGAGGGTTCAAGCAGGTCTGGACCCCCTTTCTGTTTGCTTGTCAGTGATTTTTTTTTTTTTTTTTAGGGGGGGGGGGGGGGGGGGGGATTTACATCCCCGCGTTTTCAGAAATCCTGGACCTGCCACTGGAAAGAAAATAGCTTGTAATGTTTGTTGTGTATGTAGTTTGTGGCTAATTTTCTAGACAATGCTTTAAATATACCGTTTAAAACCCAAGGTACAAAACAAGTGGCTAGACAGGAAAAGATTAAAATTGGGCTGTTGTTTAAGAAGAGACGGAAGAAAGAGAATAAAATAAGAAAGAAACAAAATTTGACAGTTAAACGAACCTAGTCATCATTGCGCAATTTAAAAATTACTAACAGTATACAACATGTATTGAAATGATCTTTGCGACAACAAAAAATACTTGTACCGTTTAAAACCACGAATGCAAGATAAATGGCTAGAAAAGCAAAGATTTTTAAAAAATGGACTATTTTTTAAGAAGAGATGGAAGAAGGAGAAGAAATAATTATGAAGGCACTTTTTTAACAGTTTAATTAACCTACTCCTCATTACGTACTTTGAAAATTACCAACGGTATACATGTATTGAAATGATCTTTGCAACAACAAAAAATAGCCAAACATATTGTAAGGCTATTTTTCTAGACAATGGTTACTAGTATACCGTTCAAAACACAAGATGCAAGATAAATGGCTGGACAGAAAAAGATCGAAATTGGGCTTTTGTTTAGGACAAGATTAAAAAAAGATGAAAAAGGGAAAAAATGAACAGCGTAAAGAACCCCGTCCTCACTGCGCACTTTGAAAATTACCAACAGTATACGTGTATTGATATGATCATTACAAACACGATCAATATGGTTACACATGGATAGTGATCTGAATAACTGTGAGAAACGGGAGGGTACAGGACATAGATATGGGGCTTTGCTACATGTCTTGATAATTGAATAGCAAATGCATCCAAAGTCATTACTAGAAACTTCATATTCAATGAACCCATTAAAATAAAGGAGAGAAACCTATACCACCGAACTACGTATAGAATTAAAACAGTGACTCAATAAACACGTATTTTTTCTGTGAATCTTAAGGGGTGATAACTCTACATCGATAAGACAAAACGAACACCAAACAAATGAATTAATAAATTGATAGACAAGGAATTAAATGATATATTACTACAAAATGATCCGTTGTGAATGACAGTCTTAACAGTACAGTATTATGGCAATCGTTAACTGTGGTCAATATTTATGTGACACGACACCAATTGACACAGCTGCTCGTATTTAAGTACCATTATTTACTTAGGTAGAAGGTGATGGCAGCTGGGGTTCCGTCTTAAAACACAAGGACCCCGTTATCTTGTCTAAAATTATGTAAAAGATTAATTCTGCTGCATGAACTTACAAATTCCTCATGAACTCTGCGCAGTGTTTATGCGCCAACTGCATACGGGAGGTTGACGAGTGGCAGGTCTTCACGAATAAATCCGCAAGGGCAAAGATGAAAAAATAGCAAAACACGGACAAATTAATCGCCAGGCTGGTACACAGACAGATATCCAGAAGATTTTCCATAGTTACTCCCTCCATGGTTGTGTTCAAGTTCTTTTTCGAGGAATGGAGAAGAGAAATTTAAAAAATATCACTACTATGGCACTGAAAAGAAGCGGCAAGAATGTTCAACTCATCCGCTAGCAGACGATACAGCGAATAGGACGCGGTGTCTGTTCACGATGCTGGCACCCCGAGCTATTTCTGAACTCGAGTTTCCTTTGGCTTAGGAAGTCGTACTAATAAGACTACATCCGTATCCATCTGGCGCTTTTATACCGCTAATCGTTGTTTACTTTTCAAATATTGATCCCTGTGTGTCTCGCGACTGTGCTCGTATTAATATACCTGCGCCTACCGTTCATAGTCCCACGTGCGCCCTTTGACGCTGGCGAACAAGAACGGTTTTGACAGGGAGCGCAAACCTGTGATTGTCTTTGTCATGGTTCAAGCCCCGCCCCTCCCACGCAAGGACCGACAAGACAAAGAAGGCGCATGCGTACGGAAGTTGTTGAATGGTCCTGCTTACTGATTCGTCACTTCGATCATCGGTAATTGTCATTGATTGTTCTTTCGTGACAAAAAAAAGCCGGTATCTTAATTAGCTGGAACCGGGGGAAAGGTGTATCAAAATATGTTTACGTTCTATTTAATCGAACAAGGCCTACTTAAAGTCCAAGGAGTAAGAGAAGAGGAAAGGAAGGAAGAGGGTTTTGGGATATATCGTGTTTAAAAAAAAAAAAAATAATTATAATTTCAATTCTGTATAACAATATGTTGGGAAATATGAAACTCACTTATTTTTTCTTATTCTGAAAAGAGCAATGCTTGTTCTTGTTTTGGGGATGAGATAACTGTGTAGTACAGTCACATATTCCTATTATGTGATTGTGATGCATTTTAGTCCTATACTTTTTTAAATTATGAATAAATAATTATGTTGTATTTATATTCGTCTATTTAATGATTTAAAAAAAGCTTTGTTATAATCATGTTGCAGTTTTGTATAAATTATTTTATGTACAAAAACGAATTGGAGATTTTAGAAGAAAAAAAATCAATGATTATAAACATATTATTTTCCTCGTCTTTTAAGTCGATTTTGTTGAAGAGGTATAGAAAGAAAATGTTAATTGTGATGTTTGTGGAGGGAAAGATGCTTACGATCCTACCTTGAACTTGAACTTGAACGTGATTTTCTATATTTTTAACAAAACCAAAACATGAACACGGTTATGACGATAAAGAGAATAGCTAAAAATACTCTTGCCACAGCAAATAAAAAACATGGATACGACATCAGAGATAATGGCTAATGAAAATAAGGGCGGAATCATCACTTGAAATAAATGGGGCGGAATGTAATCACGGCCTTCAAAGAGAGATATATATAGAGAGAGAGAGAGAGAGAGAGAGAGAGCGAGAGAGAAAGAGAGAGAGAGAGAGGGAGAAAGAAAGATAGATAGAGAGAGAGGGGGGGGGGTCAGAGGGGTGCCACCCTACGACTATCTATAATAATAATACGCTAAGGCTCCGCGGGGGGCGCGACGTCTCGGCGAGCCTTTGTATTCTATTGTTTTTTAATGAGATCGCCGACCGAAGTTGGTGCGGCTATCTCCTCCTGAACCCTCCCCTCGGGGTACCCGTGCCCGGTGCCATCGTCCGCGGGAGAGTCTACTCTGTGGAATTGGCTATACTCCGCCCGAGGTCCTCCTGCGTGTCGACGTCCAGGGCGAAAACAGACGCGACATGCATAATGCAGGATATGCGTGACGACAGAGATACCTCATGGATATTCAACATTGACACACGACCGATGACTATCCGTATAAAATTGTATACACAAAAATCGGTCGTAAAAAAAACTCGAACCATATTCCATACCTTACCTGGCTTACCATGTCGCACGCAAGTACGCCAAAACACGTACATTTTCGCAGTTGCGAGATCGAGACGGAGCGTAGGGCTCGAGTTTTTGGCGGTCGATTTTGTTTCGGTAGAAGCTGAATCTAGACCATGAACCACTAAACATCGCGAAACTGCAATCAATTTCCATCACGAATTCACGATTGCTGCAATATTATAAAGTTTCCATAAATAGAGGTATGAAATTAAAGCCTATTTTGTGATGTTCTCGCCATGTTTACGTAATTTTGATAATCATTTCTTCAAAGTAAAGAAAATCAGACAAAATCACCGTAACTGACAGTGCATTGCCACTGTGTAGTGTGTGTGAGATGAGCTGAGTTGCAGTTGAAAGTGTGTGAGTTGAATTCGAGTCGAAGAGATTTGACACTTTGAAATTGTTATCTGTTGGTTTGCATCATTATTGCCGCGATTTCAATATAGTTTCGTGAATAGATTTACGAAACCTGAGCTTAGAATTAGTAAAAGTATTACTAGACTCTAATGTCTACGTTTTTAAAAGACTGTTTGATTTTCCTGTGAAAATTTTACTTTGAAAAATGATTATCGAAATTCATGGTCAGAAATAATCACAATCTAGGGTCTATTATGTTACAGTTCTTGCATCAAATCAATGCATGAAAACTTAGTTATTGAACTAGAAAAATGTTTTTTTTTTTTTTAAATAGGCAATTATGAAGTAGGAAGCCTGAAACCTAATAGCCTACTAAACAAATCTCAACGAAGTGTAGGCCTATCCTTTTATGAATTAATGAAAAAGTAGCCCCAGAAAAAAGAGCCCCCAAAAGTTGAAAAAGTAGCCCCAGAAAATTTCCCAAAAATTTGAAATGGAGCCCCCGAAATGAAAAATTTAATTTTTTGCCTGCGCCCCCCTCTAGAATCCTGCGGATTTCCGCGGGTCCTGAGTTCAGTGTATATATAATATAGGCGTGGGGTCCACGGGTTTCAAGGGGCCATAAACCCCCGAAAGCTCGGGGGTTTTAGGCGTTTAATTAGGGTCAGATGAGCATATTTTTCATACTTTATTTGTGACACTTGCGGGTCACTAATTGGCGTGGGGTCAATACGTAGAGTTGCGTAGTGTTGCGTACCAACTACGCTGGCCTACGTTACTATATGCTGAAGGACGGAAAGGGGTACGCAAGATGAACGAAAACAATTCAACATGTTTAATTTTTTTCGCGTACTTTCGGCGTAGAAACTTGACGCAGAAAGTACGCCTTTTTACGCAACACTACTCTACATGACTACGCAGCAGTACGCTACCCTACGCCAGATCGACAAAGCAGTAAAAGCTTTCCACACAGTAAGCAACCATAAGCAAACCTGTACGCCAGCCTACGCATAACCTACGCAGGGACAATTTTCCCATTAATAGCAGCCTAATTTCTGCGTATTCGGTACGCCACACTACGGAACTCTACACAGTTCCAGTGGCTTAAAGAATAACTACCAGAACAGTTGGATTGTTTTTTAATTTAATATAAGGCCAAATTAAAAAAAAAAATACTTATAGCGTCCTGTTTTTTTGAAAAATGGGAAGGAGGAGGCAGTTCAAAATGGCCGCTCCGTACATTCGGGCTATTTTTCAAGATGGCGTCCGACAATTTTTTCTTTTTTCTTTTTTAAAATCAGAAATACATTTTAGCAGTGCTTTTCATGTTTTTTTTCTTTCAAAAAAAAAAATTCAAAAAAATTCAAAAAAATTCAAAAAAATTTCAAAAAAAAAAAAATAGGAGGCGGCCCCCAAAAAGGAAGCGGGCGGGGACGCTAAACATGTATATTTTTAATGGCCTGAATGGCAAATTAAGTTCTTGGTGGTTTTAATTTAGACAGTCTCTATATATCTATTTACACCCCCGCCCCCCTCTAGAATCCCGCGGATTTCCGCGGGTCCTGCTAGTGAGTATAATGATACGATTAATAAAATCGCGTGTACTGGACCTATGTCCTACCACCAACAATGCAATAATATGTGCCCGGGTCGTCGATTCCCGAGTGGGGAGGGGGGTGCACCTCCCCGATAATTTCGTAATAAAGTGTGTATCGTCAAGATAAATCAATCAATAAGTAAATACAAATTAAGATACATTGTAGCCGGTGATACTCTTTAACCTACTTATTATTGTAACCAAACGATTCAAACATACAATTCGAAACTAAATCAAAAGTCAAGCAGAAATGTACATAGGGAATTTATGGTGCAAACTGGAATACTTGTGACGCAAATCTCGACGAAACTGAAAGTTGGGAATTCCTATATTTGCTCTTTATCTACTGGCATTTCAATTTAGCTCGGTAATCGAAGATAAAGTCACTTAGGAGCATGATTGTATTGAATGACTTCAATTCGAGTTGAGAGTAGTTTTCCCGTCGTTATGAAACTAGTAATTAGATGAATATGTACATTGGCAGCGAGCGACATTGTTCTTATCTTTGGAGCGCATTCCAAATCGAAGTGATTTTTCTCTCAAGAATGGGAAAATAGATGTTTAAAGGCCCACTGCACTACTTGTAGCTACTTGCGCCCTCTTTATAACAAACAATGCCTAATCGGTGACCATTGGTCCCCCATGATCCTCTTTTTCTTACGTTAACTGAGAGCTGAGTTGATGAGATAAGTCAGATAACCACCTGTCCAGTGACCTTGCAGGGCAGTCTAATCCCTCCTGCAAACTACGGCAGATAAGCTTTAAAGGTTATTTTGAGTATTTTTGAATTTCAACTGAATTTTTAAAAAAGTACCTAGAACATATGTTCATTAGTTGGTATGCATGTTAACTCGAATCGACAACTTAAAGTAAACCTTACCCAAAAGAACAAGTGTAGGTATTCTGAAAAATGAGATGTTTCCATGTACTTTGAGGTACAATATTCCTTACGAAAATGTACAAGAGATATATAAATGAAGATATTCTTGGCATGACGTGATGCCTTTTAGCATTATATGGGCGCAGCCATTTTCCTGAAAATGTGACGTACCAGTGGTCCACCTGCACACATACCCCAGTATAGTATGATAATACTCTGTAAAGTCAGAGGTCTGTACTCAAAATGGAAGAAGAAGAAGAAGAAGAAGTTCTACATGTATTATGCACCAACCTTTAGTCAGAGAGACTTTGTAAATCAATAACAAAAACCTTTGTTTTTCAATGAGGAAAAATCATAGCTGAGAAGATAGAAACTTTATCTGGTGAAAAATATATAACAGGGGAACAATTGTAACTTTTTCATTTAAACATACTAAAAATAAAGCAGTTGACACATCTATTTCATTTATGAGAAGCCTACACTATGAACATATTTACGCAGTTTGCGTTTTGGCAATTGTAGTACAAAGGCTAATAACAGGTGAATAAAATGATTTCTTCCCATACACACCTGGGAAGGACGCATCCATACATTTAAATACGTTTACTTGATAAACGATTACACATAGAACATCATCTTTAATATCAAGAAAATGGCGATGCCCAT